TATTTCTTTTTACTTGTAGATTGTCTTATTCCTATCTCGCTCGCGCACGCTATAATCACACTCCTAATTTTGTGTCACGGGTGCGCGCGCATTGTAAAATTTCACTCTCATAAATTTTTCATAACGCGCCTAAAGAAGTATAACTTCAAAAAATTAAATTTAAATTTCGTCCAAAAAATAAAAATAAAATTTTAGGGGTGGATAACTCTTGTCGCTTAGGGGTATGAAAAATAAATAGTCGCCGATTCTCAGACCTACTGAATATGCATGTAAAATTTGATAAAAATCGGTCAAGCCGTTTCGGAGGAGTATGGTAACTAACATTGTGACATGAGAATTTTATATATAAGATACTTACTACCTACTACTAGTACAACTTATAAAGGCACAGGTTGTGCCTCAAGATGTGGAACGGGCGTCAATAACAGGTTTCTACCGACGCACTTTCAAGACTAAGATAGTAAACCAAATATCATGCCATGTTGGAATTTTGTTTAATTTAAAGAAATTAGTAATTAATTCAAGTTCTTAATTTTGATTTAAGTATACACAGTCATGAATTTCGACGTTACAGTGAAAGGAGAAATTGTGATCAATTTTTATTTCACTGTCATTTTGTATTTTTTTAAAATAAATATAATTTTTATTTAAAAAAATACTTATTGTAAATAAATTCGTAAAAATAAATATACAAAAAAATTTGCTTTATATAAATGTTGAATACGAATTTATTTACAACTAGCTGGCCAGGCGAACATCGTACCGCCTAACAGTCGATTCTTTATTTTTTTTTAAATACTTATTCTGCTTTTCGGGACACCGGTCTTGCTAGTAAGATAAAAAAAATAAAGTTGATAAGACAGCAAATACATGTCAAAAAATAAAAATTTACCTTCCCGGAAACACTCCACTAACACTTGAACTTTATGATATGGTATTAAAGTTCAAATTGACTTTTAAGTATTATTACGAATATTTTGTATGGGAATATAGAAGTGTTGTTTTTAGACTTTTTCACTCATTTTTTTTAATTTTTCTCTCCGTAAGAACCACCATCGTACTTTAAGGAATATTATAAAAAAAGATTGGCCAAATTGGTCCAGGCATTGTTGAGTTATGCGCTTACCAACACATTTTGCGATTCATTTTTATATTATAGATAAGTATTTTTTTAAATAAAAAAATAAATCAGTGGCGCTACGACCTCTTTAGGTCTAGGCCTCAGATTTCTGAACCTGTTTCATGATCGTTTGTCAATCTAATAGGCAAGTAGGTGATCAGCCTCCTGTGCCTGCCACACGCCGACTTTTTTGGTCTAAGACATATCGGTTTCCTCACGATGTTTTCCATTCACCGTTCGAGCAAATGTTAAATGCGCACATAGAAAGAAAGTCCATTGGTGCACAGCCGGGGATCGAACCTACGACCTTAGGTATGAAAGTCGCACACTGAAGCCACTAGGCCAACACTGCTCTAAGCATTTTTTACAACCTAAAAAAATATATCGGTTTACTGTAACATAAGACAGACTTCTATTATTGTCTTACACATTACGAGTAATACAGTTATTATTTTAAGGCAGTACACGAGAGGGCGAATTTTTGGCTCGACTGTAATGCATTGTGCAATTTTTCCAAATAGTACATACTGGATTACCAAGCATATTTTAATAAGGCTCTCTTTGTAAAAAAATATCGTTACGTTACTACTAAGTAAAAATAAGTAAAAAAAATATGTCTCTCTACATAACATATAGTAGGCCATGAGCTCGGTCCATTGGATGGTTTAAAAAATTGCTCTTCAGGGGCACTTAACATATGGATTTTGCGGAAGTCATGGCTGGCCGGCGCAGACCTTCTACTGCACTATATTTTTCTAAAAGAATTTATGGCACAGAAGGCTCAAGAGCAGACGGGTCACTTAAAGTTAAGAGTTAACCGGTGCTGGATGCCAGGACGTTTGCAAGTGTGTTTGCTAAGTCGTAATGGTTAGAAAATGCTTATAATGGCACCTGGTTCCTTAAAACGTGTCGTCGTATGGTGACGTCAAGGTGCAAGGAATTTAAGTGTATGTTGTCCATGAATTTAATTTTTTTTTGGCACACAGGTCTGGTTTAATTAAATCATTTAAGACTTATAGCTCTGAATCCTATACAAAACGGACATCTGAAAGGAGAAAAATAGATGCTCTGGAAATGTGGCATGGTGGCGGATGCTTATGATTCCCTGGACAGGTAAGGAAACAAACGTGTCCATACTAAGACGGTAACAGGTAAAAATCTTCTTTCGAAACTTTGTTACCAACGCATCCTGCGTTTTATTGGACAAGTAATACGCAGAGATCCAGAAAGTTTAGAAAAACTCATCGTGACTTGCAGAGTGGAGGGTACCAGACCTCGAGGCCGATCCCCTACTCGCTGAACCTATAAAGTAAAAGCTTAAAAGTAAAAGCACAGAGGCTTGCCAAAGACAGGCGAGAGAGAAGGAAGTTGTGCAGCGCCACCTTCCTTCAGAAGAAGAAGAAGAAGATTCTTACAATTCAGCTTTTTTGATGAGAAATAATTAAAACGCTACATTTCCACGCTCGTTTCCAGTGAGCTTAAATAACATTTCAGAATGAAGCAGCCATAAACAGTTTTATAGTGCGCGAGTAATGTGCTAATATTAGTGATTTACCCGCCCAGGCTTTGATGTACCATCTGCTTGATAACTTCATTATTTATCTACATTTTATTACCCGACACTACGGTCTTATTGAAATTTATAATCAATCAACTTATGCTATCTTTTTTTTGCAACTTTTACAGTAATTATTTCATTTTAAAAATTTAATCGAACTTAAAAATGATAAATTGAGGAGCATCGAGTAGACGTAATGAAGAGAACAAAACACTGATACTGTCTTTGAAATTTGTTACTGTGTTGATAGATATAGTCTGAATTAGGTAGCATTTATTTATATATAAATATTGACATGATTATCCAAAATTACTCCTTTCGCTTTAAAAGCCGCAGCGCGCGTTCTCAATCTGCCGGATTGAGAACGCGCGCTGCGGCTGAATTCCATAATCGGACGTCGAGGCAGAATGCAAGATTCCATCCTTCCCATCTCGATGCCTGGCGATCCACAACACAGCGGTTTTAAAATCACTTTGCCGCGCACCACCTATTTGTTGTGAGTATTCCCAAATTTATTCGAGTTAGGGGCCTTCAAGAAAGGAACGTACCATTCCCAGAATTGTCGGCAACACACCCGCTAGCCCCGGCGTTGCAGGTGCCCATGGGCGGCAGTTATCACTTTTTACAAGCTTTATAATAAAAAAATAATAGTTCAATATTTCTATGGAACGACATTTGAAACTTTGTTGATATTATAAAAACATATTTATGTTGTTATGTCACGGAATTTCATGAGGTGTACGCGGGAAAGTGCTAATTCAATTGGTGTTTTGGTTTTATTTTTTGGTATAATTTTTTTATTTTTTTATTTAACAAACTAGGTAAAGATTTTGGCCGTTTTTTGGTATTACGAGTAAAGTTTAGTAATAGTGAATTATATTAAAAAAGAAGTAAAATCATAGAAATTCGATACTCGGTAGTTTCTATTTGTGAAAGTTCAGTTTTCGCAAACACATACATGTTGGGTGTTTTGTAACTAACTGTTACGTAAAAGCGAGTTTCTGTAACCTTTACACATCACACGGGTCACATTTGTCAAAAAATAGAAAATGGAGTACTATATTCAGAATAAATGGGTTTTTCATATACAAATATTCATGCGAAACCAAAATTTAATAAATTATGACTAATATAAAATAAATTAACATATTTATTTTCACACTATAACAATGTTGATCTAAGACTTGCCGGTGTCATAATGTTTATGATAACAAGCAGTTTCCAAATGCACAAGGAAATAAAAATTGACTGGTGATGCCGGAATTATAACTCGGGACAAAAGTGTTGTCAGTCGCGACCTTCCAATATTGCTTTATGACAAAATCCATTTATGCTAAAATATAAATAACCTTATCTACGTAAAGCAAGTTTCTTATCAAAAAACTTTCACAATTTTTTACTAGCTGAATAGGTCTGTGAAAGCCATTCTGTTAATATTAATCAAATTCAAATAAATTTTGCCCTTACAGCTTTTTATTTCAGTTAAACGGAAATTAATTACTTGTAAATATTGTTTATTAAAACACATCCTCCACAAAATAAACATAAAAGGTTTTATATGAATGAATTAATGTAAATATAAACGTTGGAAATTAATATTTATGTAATGTATGTTAATTACCCGGGCTTATATATTCTGATAGATATTAATATCTACTCTATTCTCGATTTCTGTTTCCGTTTCAAGAAATGTCTTATTTATATTTATTATCAGTATCAGCAAGGCTAAAGAAGTCGGTATATTTTACCCACTACTGTATAATACTAGATTTAAACCAGATTAATAATCACATTTTCAAAATAATTTATCTTGAATTATTAAATTAGAGTAGATTTAATTTAATGGTTTATTTTAATTCAAGACAAATATTTAGTTTTAAAATTGTAATATTATAAAAAAACGCATTATAGCAGTATATTATAATAACTACATCCGTTTCGACGTTTACTGTCAAAATATATTACAAAAATGTAATTACGTTTTAATTAATTTAATTTCCTAATATTTTAATGGAAAAGTTTTTTGTCCCACCCTTAACGTAATGTCTCTTTCCCACTTTCAAAAAATGAAATATAAGAAATCCTCAAACATAAATATAGTCTTTTATCTCTTAACTCAATTCATCATTGTAAGGAAATTTATTGAGTCCTATTTATCAGAATCCCGCGAGTGAAATATCGCATAATAACGCCCATAACTTATATTCTTAAAATAATTGGCTGAGTTTACTAAACATAAACAACACATCGAATAAATAACATTTATTTAACACACTTAAAGCTTTTCACCAGTCTTAATATCACAACCCAAACTAATTAACTTCATTCCTCAGGCTCAATTAATGCATAATCGATGCCGTTTCCATCCCCGCCTTTGGTCACTTCGTTATCTTTAACAATCTTCGTTGTTGTTTTTAATTCCTTCTTTCTTATTTTACCAACGTGCGTTGTTGCTTCTACTTCTAGTTCTAGTGGTGTTGGTGATGTTTCCTTGTCTACTTTCTCAGTTGATGTTTCACTTTCAATAACTTCGATTGGAACCTCTCGCTCAGGTGGCGGCGGTGGTAGCTCATGTTTTGGAGCGGAGATTGAAAGAATCCCTTTTTCGTTTAGAACTGCTTTTAGCTCCTCTTGTCTCGTGCCAGGTGGTAAGATAAACCGCTGCATGAAGTGGTTTGCAATGTATCGTTTGTCGTCTTCATTTTTCAATTTATGTTTGCCTTCGACGATCATGTAGCGGTTTTTCACTTTAATTTTCAATTCATCCGGCTTGTAAGTACGAACACTGAGTCTAACGAGATATTGTTCCGAATCGGAAATAATTTGTGGATCTTCTAGCGTATCCTCTAGCTCCAATGCTGCAGCCGCTCTGATCAGATGACTCCAGGGCCAGAGGTAGGTGAGGCTGTGTGATAGATGCCGATCCAGCAGAGCGAATGGGTCTACATAATGATGTGTTTTGTATGGCTTCTCTTCACAGTGAGAAATGGTGAAGATCGCAGCGAATATCAGCGCTTGTTTGTACATCGTGGATGCGTTTTCGTATTATCTGAATGCTGGCGAGCGAGACGTCGGGTTTATATAGATTCGGGCCCCCTGTTCTAGAATATACGCGTTGAACGAGTTAAGTGCATTGGCAGGTGCGGCCAACATTTATGTGAAAGTGAAAATTGGTCATTGACTTTGTGAGTCATAACAAAATGCTTTGGCTTGTTTACGTTTTTGTCGCTTCGTTCACTTTTACTTCCTTGACTCAGCTTTACAGCTTTACTCAGATTGAACAAAACAGGTCAGAGAGCAGCGCATTGATATGTTTATATGACGTGATAGCCTGCCTATAATTATTCAATAACCTATAACTAAGAAGTAACGATTCACCAACTTCATTGAGACATCATTGGATAGGCGATTAATCTTATATTACATGTATAATATATAACTAACCGTGAACCACAGATTGTCAACTCATGCACCGGTACTGTGAGACCCACACAAGCACGTTTGCGCCTGTGTGAGTACCGTTAGCAGAACTGCATAGTAGGTCACACGCTGGTTGTTAATTTTTTTTTTAATGAACCGAGGTATAAACGGTCATATTTAATGAATAATATAATAATTATCAACAGCACATAATTATTACCCTACTTAATCATACAAACATAATAAATGAAAATTAAATTGAAATTCCTCGAACTTTTTCGAAATATTTGTTCCATTTTAATCCAATGTTATAACAACCGTGTAGTATTACGATGTATACTTTTATTTGCTTTTATGGGATGGGGGCAGGGGGCAAAATAACAGACAAATTAACATGATTAGATTGGTCACTGCTGCGTGTAGATTCATAGGTTTACAAATTTGCCGGCCTTTATGGATGTGATAGCTAATTCCTTGAAGGTCCCAGGAAACCGATAGTTATACAAAATTGTTTATAATATCCGTATAATCTAGACCTTGAGATATTTAGAGCTCTTTCATAACGCTTAAAACGAAAACGTTATAATAATAATGTTTCAAGTTTTTATATTTTATTTTATTAATTATTTTATAATTATTTATATTATAATTAATTTTTTAATTATTTTATTTTATATTTATTAATTTTTTTAAGAATTTCATCATTTCATTAAATGATTTTTTACAGTGCGCAATTTAAAGACGCTTTTTGGTTTTCCATCAAGAGTTTTAGCCCGGAATCAAACCTTCGCGTTACCCAGACCAGACGTTTTAAATTTGTTTTATAAATTTTGAAATATTATAAGCCAAGTCCTTACGATATATGTAAAATAAATTAAGCCTATTTATTTTTAAAACAATTTTTTTGTCGTTATTGTGTTTCGCTTTGACGCTTCAATTATACACAAAACGCTCCAAAAGAATATTTGCTGACTCTACAAGTGTTTCCTTTGTTTTAGTACCTACTTTCACACGCCAATATACCCCCTACCAATAACTGCATAACACCTAAATTGCTCAAAAATTATCAAGCACTTACTACGTTATTCTCGAAGGAAGGCCACAAATCGTCGTATCTGAGTAGTCCAAATAAAGGAGTTTGAGCTGTATGTCAATAACAATAGAACTAATATTTCAATGCACTTATATGGCGATTACTCGAAGTTTCTTGAAGGTATAAACCTACACGATTGTGGGGGAGAACACAAGGATCTACCAGTTCTGTATATTTAGTTTACATATACTGGCCGCATACCTGCTAAATAATGCTTAGAGAGAATAATTGATTTATATTGGAAATGTGGAAATGTAGATTCCTCAGACATATTAATGTTTTTTTTTATAGAACAGGGGGCAAACGGGCAGGAGGCTCACCTGATGTTAAGTGATACCGCCGCCCATAGACACTCTCAATGCCCGAGGGCTCTAATGAAATAGTTATATTTGTTGTTACATCATATTTATTTATTTATCAATAAAAACATACAAAAATAAATACATTATAACAAAAGCTAAAAACGGAATGCACATTCAATTATAAACATAAAACACAGTAAACAATCATTACCTACTTATACAAATAGAATATTAATAAAATATATATATTAAATTATAAGATGCTGATCATTATATTATGATCATTATAATATATTTAAAATATAAGAGGAATAACAAAGCCATTATATCAAATAAAGGATCACAGAGTTCTTTTATTTTATATCTTACTAGCTGCCCCCCCGCGAACTTCTGTTCGTTTCCAGAATTAAAACTTTTTAGGTTTTTCTGTGATTTTTTCTCTTTATAAACCTCAGATTAAAGTCATAAGTTTTTAATTAACAAATAAAAAAAAGAGGTAGGGGGGTGAAAATTAATCATAAAAAAATAAAAACAAAATAAAATTTTTGGGGTGGGGACCACCCTTAACATTTAGGGGTTGGAAAGATAGATAGTAGCCGATTCTCAGACTTACTGAATATGTGTAAAAAAATTCATAAGAATCGGTAGAGCCGTTTCGGAGGAGTATGGGAACGAACATTGTGACACGAGAATTTTATATATTAGATTTATATATGTATAAATTGTTAAGATTTTTTTTTTGTTACATTAAATATATCTATTTGCTGGTAATTCGTGTTATAATCTGAAGGTACACGAAACATGACTGAGTTACGTAAATAGTTTGTATTAGACCGAGGAATTTGAAATTGTTGGGTTTGCCTTTATTGACGCCGTCTCGTATTTGCCGCTAGACAAATTGATAATAGCTCAGAATGATTTGCTCATGCACGTGACCATATAAATTCGACCTTAGTAGGCTACAGCTGTCGCAATGTGTCCTCTATGAAGGACAAACTATGAGAGACCGCTACGTTATTTGAACAGGAAGCACTCCCCAAAGAGCAAGAAGTAATCCCACCGAGATCCTGCATCAGCTTTGACTATGCGCAGATGTTATTGCATAGTTTCAGTTGACCTGACCTATGCAATAACATCTGTGCATAGGGACCGTTCAAGTATTACGTAAGTAGATTTACTGCAATTTATCCCAAAGCAAAGCTCTCAAAAAGAATAGTACATAAACGTATAATTTTTATAGGAATCCTCGAAAATGCATTTCGTTTTTAAGCATAGACAACGTGTGGGTAACATGTGAAAAAAGGCAATAATTACTGTTGACGTAATCACCAAATACGAAAATCAAAGACCCCCCTCCACCCTATAGTGCTTACGTACCTTGAACGGCCCCATAGGTCAGGTATACTAGATACCTAATTTTTTAATCGGGACTATAAATATAATTTTTCGTGGATAATATGATAAAATACTTTGACTTACCAAAGTTAAGCTAGTGCACGATTCTTAACACTCACATACCCTTTCCTGCGTTACCCACATTAAACCTGTTAGCTTTTTAAACTAGAAAGAAGAAAAAGAAAGAAAGCCACATCAAACACATTTTCACTTTCTTATCTCCAAAATTAACGTACGTAAAAGTAACGATGAAAAAATTTAACTTTAGTAAGCTGTAAGTGATAAGGCTAAATGAGACACTCGGCTAGAAGCTTGAGAAGAAGAGAAGAAGCGCAACGCCGATTCCAGTGCTCCTCTATTTAGATAATAACTAATTAATTTAAGATAAAAGTAGTCTAGACACTGTTAGTCCACAAAATTTTTCCATTTACTCAAAATCAATTAACAGTTACAGTTGTTGCGTTTGAAATGTTATCAAATAAAACTTCCTCAAGGCAGTAATTACTCTGAGAATGCTTTTGTTTCTTAGGTGCTGTAATACCAGTTTGGGTGCGTGCAAACATCCCAAACTGCAGCACCATGCCAGTATGCACCTATAGAATTTTCTATATGCGCAATTAATACTTCCTCACAAGGTGAAGGTAAGCATTGTTTAAGTAAACAACCTCGTCAAGACAATCCACAACGTATGATTATCTAGGTCCTATACATAACGCATAGGCAACAGATAAAGAAATCCTAAAACAAGGATTATTAGACCAATAAAATATCCAATAAGATCCAATAAGGCGTGAAATGATATCTTCAGAACATCTCAGTATCTTGTAGAGTGAAAGTAAGCAAGCTTCATAGAAGTGACAAGGAAAAACGGTTTAATGTTGATCGTTGCTTTATCCTGTATCTCCAACTAATTAAATTTTGTGTTTATTTTTTTATTTGGCAATGGAAACACGAGGGCGTAAATGTACCTTTGTATATAGTATTTACAATAAAACTGGGATGAAAAATTACTCGGTGGACATTTTCAGCAACCTTACGCTGAGTTGTTTTAGAAACCTTGTTGTGTTTATTATTTGCTATTATTATGTTTTTATTTATTCCTACATAATAATGTATTTACTGTGTATATTCGCGGATGCTTGGCGGACCCCTACGACTTCATCAATACAGAGAATCCCCGCGTGAGTTGTGTGCTGCGGTATTGCGGGCTACTCGATTGTGAGGAAGTTGCATCGATCTGGTTTGCGCCGCCCCTTCTTAAGTTCTCATGTCATTTTCACACATAAAGTAAGTAAAGTAAAAAATCATTTAATCATATAGGTAACATAATGTACACTTATGACTCGTCAGTAAAGAAATACATATTAATGCTTCTAATTTTACATTTACTGCCAGTTCTCAAATCAAGGGCGAACGGGAGAGAAGAACTGGCAATAAACTCTCCGCTACTCTTTTTTAATCGGCATTTTTTTTACACAACGTTTGTAAGAAGCTGCAGCCATTACACCATGTTCCACATGACATATCACGTTATTAATAATAATAACTTAAATAAAAAATAAAAAAAGACTTGTCCTCTATCAGCATGGAGGAGGAGGCATGGTGAAATAGGAACTCACATTCTCGTGGGAACAACACGATAACACATAGTCGAAATAACCAACATCACCGCATACACGAATTCAAGTACGACCAGTCACCACAAGCAACACCCGTTCACGAGCATGACGCATGGCTAGCCATAGAATATCCTTGTATAACAGAACAATCTGATTGTCCTTGCAACAGGTGTGAAATAAAATAAATAAAAAGATTAT